GTTTCACTAATAAAAAAAAAATAAATAAAAGGTCGGGCAAGTCCAATTTCCATTTCTGCAGCCCAGAAGGACTTTTTTGGGGGGTTCACACCCGGCGATGCACAAGGGTTACTCCTGGCTTTGCACTCAGGAATTACTCCTGGCAGTGCTCAGGGACCATATGGGATGTTGGGAATCGAACCTGGATCGGCTGCGTGCAAGGCAAACGCCCTCCCGGCTGTCCTATAGCTCCAGACCCCCAGAAGGACATTTTATCAGGGTGCTCACTCAGCTCCACAGATGGGGAATTTCAGGTGGAGCAGGACACAGCCCGGAGGGTGAGTTCCTCATTGAAATCTCATTCTCCTTCCAAACCAGAAACACTCCCCGACTCCTCCAGTGAGTGGACATCTGGCTGGTGTCTGGGGGTGTCCAAAACGTATGCAGCCTCATGAACAACCATGAGAACCGAAATCCTATTAGAAATATTGTTTGCACAATCATCTGTGTTGCTGCGGATTAAGAGGCGAACAGCTCAGCAACTTTTCAGTAGGAACTTGAATAATAAGGTCCTTTGAAGAGCGCATTCAAATTCTTAAAAGAATGTTTAAAATGCATCACATGGGAACACTTAAGCCACAGACATCTTGCTGTGGGCAGGTTTTTCTGGAAGCACCGTTTTGACCGTAGGACAGCTGTTCTGAGTTCCCGGATTCCACTGTTGTCTCAAGAACTTTGCTCTGAAGCCTAAATTTCAGCCCATACTTCAAGAGTATCTGTCACTGTCCAGCCAGTGGCCAGGATTTCTTCAACCAGTTTCCCCTGGGAATTCCAGGAGTCAGCACAGGAGTCTGTCTATGAAGGAAGTAACCCAGAGGAATTTTTTAATGGGCTCAATCTGTTTTGACCTCTATCAATTGCTTTTTTTTTTTTTTTTGCTTTCTTTTGGGTCATACCCGGCGATGCTCAGGGGTTACTCCTGGCTCGTGCACTCAGTAATTGCTCCTGGCGGTGCTCAGGGGACCATATGGGATGCTGGGAATCGAACCTGTGTCGGCCATGTTGGCTGCGTGCAAGGCAAACGCCTTACCCGCTGTGCTATCACTCCAGCCCCCTATCAATTGCTTTTTTTTTTCCTTAACTCTCCTTTTGACATCTATAAGTTCCATTGACCCTGGATTCTACGCATCACTGTTTTGGAAAACAACTCTTAGGTGCTTTGCTCCCAGTCCTGTAGCCCTCAAATGCAGCCCTCTCTGAGCACATTCCCAGCAGAACAGAGCGAGGCTGAGAGGGTTGAAGTGATCCCTCAGAGGCTGGTAACCGTTGCAGTGGAGATAGGACCCCAAGCATCCAGATTTCAAGTTCATGTTACTCTTCTACCCTGCCATCCATCAGCCCCAAAGGAGGGCAGGGAAGTTCTTCTGAGTTATTCCAAATAGATCATTTGTATGCAGATGTGCAGCTGTCTGTATCTGGCTCCCTAAAACAGATTTCAGTCTTTCATAGGTAGAGGGTGCGTCTCGTCCTGGGGTAGCCACACGTCTCCAGGGTCTAGCTTCTTAAGCAAAGAATCAACAAGAGTCAAAGGTGTTTGAACACATAACGGCCAACAATGAATCCAAAGTCAGCCACATCTTGAATCTAAGGGGTTTCTGGCAATTCTTGCCAGAGCCACATTTATTAGGTCCAAAGAGGAATGAGAGTGAAAATTATTTCTTACACCCTAAATGCAGGTACTGCGGACCCCAGGAAATACACAAAGGTGTCACTGCATGAACCTTGCTAACTCAGCCTTGAAAACTGCTGCTAATACTCTACCCTGAGTACTTGGGGATCATATATATCTCAGGGCGGGAGCATCTCAGAAGTTGTGACTGGATCTCATCCTAACCTGAGACAAGCATTCTCCCCATTTTGCAGCAGGAAAGGATAGAGTGGGGAGGCAATTCCTCCAAGACCACAGTGCCTTTGCACAGTCTGAGCCATGTGAGATATTCAGGATCCTCTCTTCCAATTCCTCCAGGCCCAAGAAGACAAAATATAAATGGGAAATAACTTCTAAAAGGACGCTGAACACCTGGCACTCTCCTGAACTCAGGATAACAAAGGGCATGTCTGATCCTGCTCACTGGACATTAAACATTTTTTCGGCGAGAGTAACATCATTTGAAAGGAATTTCTCCAAGATCATGTTTGGTTTTGCTGTATTAATAAGAGCCACTTCAGTCATCAAGACTGTCAAAACAGCTTCTTGCTTCCTCTCCCAACATGTGAGGGAGAGAGGGGAAAGCGCCCGAGTGATGTTCGGAATTGCAGAATCTCCTTGCCAATTCTGTCTGAAGTCTCGTCCAGGAAAGGAGAAGAAGAAAGAGAGCTCTTCTCCTCAGCACTTTGTGGTGTTTCTCTTGGTTTGCTTTTAAGTTCACCACAAGGATACTTCATAGACAAAAATTATTCCAGTAGAAGAACACAAGGTTCTGTGATTCTCTATCACAAGCTTCCATGAGAAAGTGAGCTAGCGGAGGACATCCCAAGAGGGACACACACACACACATAAACTCACACACTCACACACACACACTCACACACACACTCACACACACACTCACACACATAAACTCACACACTCACACATATACACACTCAAACACTCACATTCACACACGCCCTCACACACAAAATTTATTATAAAAATAGCGATTACTGGGTCCAGAGAGATTATACATAACTCATAGTATGATTGCCTAGCACACGATCAACCAGGGTTTGATCCCCAGCATCCCATATGGCCCCCAAAGTCTGCCAGGAGTAACCCCTGAGCACTACCAGTGGTGGCCTCCCTTGCCCCAACCAAGAGTTATTACAAATATGACGGACTCTTCTCTCTTTTTCCTGCTCTGAATGGTGATAGAAAGAGAAGGAGGACTTGTGGATAATTTAGGTTTTTCATTTCTCTTAATTGCATTATCTTATGATCTGCTAACAAAATAAGAATGGGTCAGGGTGAAATAAACAACAGGGACCCTCAAAGTTTTGAAATTCTACCCGCGGAGAACTGGCTATACTCTCTGTTTCTAAGGGAGATAGCTTAAATTTCAAAGAGGTGCCAACAATTCTGAGAGAAAGTAGAGCCCAGAGACCGGAAATGCAGGACCTGGATATGCCCCGCCCCAAACTGGACAGCACCGGAAGTCAGAGGAGTGGGCGTGGCTTGTGATTCTGCCTTCCAGAAACCAACATCCCATGCCTAGCGCATCACTGGCATTTTGATGCCAGGTGTAGAGCTGAGAGTTCCTCTCTACTCCTCCTCACTTCGCTTCTCTGACACAGGCACTGTTCATCTTCTCTAGGTAACACAGATGCTTACAGAGATGCAAAGACTCTCTCCCTTCAACATACCATTATTTACTGAACATCAGTACCGTTCCTTAGGCAAACCATTTTTTTTCAATTGAATCACAGTTAAAACTAAAGCAGCATACTTACCTTGAACCAAGAATCGGCGAGTCATGAATTTAAGTGCTCCTTCTGTTTTTTTTTTCCCTTTCACACTTTGAATTTATAGATCTTGATCCACCTATTTGATTATTCATATAAAAATATCCGACCCCCTTAGTCATTCCCCCTTGCCACCAACTCGTGCGTGGGTTGCTCTAGGAAGTCACTCCCTACAATAGTATTTTTGACAGAAGAAGTTTTAAAGTAAGAAATTGGTTGGTGAGGAGGGATGCGTTCAACAACTTGCCAAAGAGTGTGGGCTCAAAGAAAGATGACTGCAGATTCAGCCCAGAGCAGGAATAAGGCTCAGAACACCCATGGATTCTGGACAAGAGAATCAACCCTCCACGGTGGCCTCTGTTTGCAGCTTATGCGGAGGGACGTGGGGGTTTCAGTGAAATGACAAAATTCAACTTTTCCAGCATATACGCTATTTACAAAACATACCCTGCCTTCCTACCCTAGAACACTTGCTCGATTTGGGGAGGGGGGCCACCATTTCAACAGGCAAGAACTCAGAATCCTTTGGGTTTGCTCGGTAACAAAGCAAAAAAAAAATAACCCAGTGTTGTTGCATAGTACACAGACCTGCCTGCCCCATGGTCTGTGTAATACGCAGCAGAACCATCTAGAAGTTTCCCAGCCCCTCTCAACTGTGGCCTCCTTCTGACCTGGTTTCCTCCCAGTGCCCCTTTCCCCCCGTCCAATAAGCTGGCTTCCTACCTTCATGTTGTGGACCTCCACTGGCATGATTGTCACACATGGTCCTGAAATATTCTGGGAACCCACCGAGGGCCCTGTGGTCCCAGTTAAGAAATGCTCTTCTAGGGCCGGCGCGATAGGACAGCGGGGAGGGCGTTTGCCTTGCACGTGGCTGACCCAGTTCGATCCCTGGCATCCCATAGGGTCCCCCAGCACCGCCAGGAGTAATTCCTGAGTGCAGAGCCAGGAGGAACCCCCTGAGTATCGTCAGGTGTGACCCAAACAAACAAAAATACACTCTTCTGAAGAACAACTGTCAGTGGTGCTTTGACTTTTCTGCCACAGAAAACGCGTGTGCTGATCACAGCGGACGTGAGCTGGTGGGCATGAGCGTTTCCGGAGCGCGCAACTGCCACGTTCCTAATGCCCCAACCCACCCAGCTGCAGAGGCAGAGCAAGGGCAAAGGTGGTTCCTCATGGAAGGGTGAGATGCTCCAGGCGGCTGGTAGGATGCCCGCGGGAGACGTCAGTTTAGAAATTCAATCATGAATCCCGCCCGCCCCCCCCCAACACACACACTACAAACCAGATTAAGTCCAAGAGCAAAACGTTTCGCTCATTCGCTTGCTTTTCTTTCCCACCAAACACACTCCACTGACACAGGTGTTTCATTGTCCCTGGAGCAAGACAGACTTTGACACAGCGGCCAGTCGTATAGCTCTGGGAGAAGACTTGAGTGTCTCAAGTGGCCCCGGAGGACCCGTCTCTCAGCCCATCTCCCATGCAAACACCTTTCCCATCTGGACAACGGGACTCACCTTTTTCCAGAACAGTTTGCCTAGAGGCAGAGACGTGGGCGCCCCCTTCTCCTTGGTCCCTTCCTTGGCTGGTTCAGTGGATGGAGGATTCTTGGCTGCTCCCCGCGGGGTGTCCTGGGGGGCACAGCTGACCTTATCTGATTTAAGGTCTGTCGTAGTGGTGGGTGACTTTTCAGTACCCTAGAGAGTTCAAGAAAAGGCAATGAGATCATCTCAAGATCTCAAGAGGGAAACTCCTGTCTGTAAAATAAACTGGCTTCAGGCATATTAATTTCTGTCTTCACTCTTCTGTGTGTTTTCCAAATATCTTGTATGGGTTAAAAATTTTGTGAAAAGTCAAGATATTTTCTTTCTTTTTTCTTTTGGTGGGGGGATGTTTGTTTTGATGCCTCACCGACAGTGCTCAGGGCTTACTCCTGGCTCTGTGCTCACAGGTCACTCCTAGTATGGTCCTATTGAAGGACCATACGTGATGCTGGGTGGTTGACTGGGCCAAGTGTGTACAAGGGAAGTACCTTAGCTCCTGTACCATTCTCCTGCATCTATGTTGGTACGTTTGTTTGTGGGATTATTTGCCTGTTTGGATTGGGGGCTACACCTGAAGGCATTTTCCTTTTGGGAAAAATATCGAATCATTATTTATCCTGTTCACGTAAGTAACTCATTAAGGGCAGGGTGATAGCAAGCGGCACTTTGCTGTTAGAATGTTAGTTTGTGGTGAATCATTGGCTCTCAAAAGGTCCTAGTCTTAGATAAATCCAAAAAAATAACTTCCAGAAACCTCCAGCACAGGCATATTGGTTTGTGTTCTAATGCTGAATAATTTGACAAATCCAAATTTGAAATTAAAGAAGGGTTAAGATAAATTTTTTAATTATTATTTTTTGGAGGGTCATACCCAGCGATGCACAGGGGTTATTCCTGACTCTGCACTCAGGAATTACTCCTGGTGGTGCTCAGGGGGACCATATGGGATGCTGGGAATCAAACCCGGATCAGCTGCATGCAAGGCAAGCGCCCTACCCGCTGTGCTATCGCTCCAGCCCCCAAGATAACATTTTTAAAGAGAACAGTTTGAAACGGAAGTTCTGAAAGGTTCCTCCCACGATGCACTTTAGAAATCACCAACCCAGGCAGTGAAGGAAGCTAGACTAGCTGAGCTTAGTGAACGATGCTGATTCGGGAAAGAGTCCGCAAGCCCCTGTTTTCATTCGGACGAAACTCCGAGATATAATTGACTAGCTTGTAAATGACCTAAGACTTCGGGTGTTATCCAGCTTGGTTCCTTTTTCTTTTCTCTTTCCTTCCTTCTCTCTCGCTCCCTCGCTCTTTCCCTCTCTTCTTCTTCCCTTCCATTCCCTCCCCCTCCAACTTTCACCCCTGATAGTGACCTTGTTGAAGTCCCCTTAGAGATCACCGGATCACCCATGGTTTGCTATCTACCACCGAGTGGCATAAAGGAAGAGGCAGGAGTTTGATTTGGTCTCAGTTTATCTCGACTTGAATATTGGCATTCAAAATGCTAGGCCAAGTGTCAACCCACCTCATTTCACCCCACTCAGCATCTTTATTTTTCATAATTTTTGTTCCAAGGATTTGTGACTCTCTTTCAATTCTCAGAGATCATCAAGCAACCGACTCTGTTTTCTGACCAGAAGAAAAAGAAAACGGGTGGTGAAGACAGGAGATGGGAAATTGAGGAAGTTTCACCATATGTTTGATGTGGAATAGTGTTAAAGACCACTTAGGTCACTGCCTGAGCTTCCCAGAACTGGGAAACTACCCCCATTCTAGTCACAAATGGACAACCTCCGCCGCAGGGCTGGACCACAGGCCCTTACCTCATGGTTCTCCACACCACCAATGTCTACAAAAAGTATTTGCAAAGGACGAGTGTAGTCATGCAGAGGGAACAGGTCATTGAGCAGATTCTAAGTTAGACCCAAGAGATAAAGGGTCAAAGTTTAGCTAATCCGTTTGTGATGGTTGAGTGTGGAACACCCTCCAGTCCTATGTCAAAGTGTACAAAGTGGCATAATCATGAGATTTACAACCAGTGTCCGGGCCAAAGAAAGAGGACTGTGGGTAGGGGGCTTACATTGCAAGCGGCAGACCTGGGTTGGACCCCCAGCACCCCACATGGTCCCCCCAATCTCCGATCACTGAGCTAGGAGTGAGACCTGAGGACCACTAGGGGTGGCCACAAAACAAAACCAACAGCAGAAACAACTGTTGCATTTATAAACAGGGACGACAAAGGATGTGCGCTCCTGAGTGCCTAGATTTATGGTGCCCTGGCGGGGCCAGGATTTGGGGGAGTCTATTCAATTCTAGCATAACTCAATTTAAGCGAAGGTTGTGGGGGGTGTGCAACCCCCCATAGTGTGACTCCCTTCTAGAATATGAGGATTACTCATCCATCTATTTCATGCGAATGCAGTGAATTCCATCGATGTACACTGCATGCAAGGGTCACGTGTCCTGGTGGAAAGAGAGGCTCACTAAAACATTTCCACAGATAAATGGAAAACTTAACTGTGACCAGTGAGGGCTGTGGAGGATCAGGGGGAGGATTCAGGGGGAGAAAAATTGAAATCAGAATTTAGTGCTGACAGTCGGAGAAGGGTTTCCCGAGAATGCGCTGTCTGGGATCCAGGCAGGTGGGTCAGTGGAGTCAGGGCACGCCACGGAACGCAGGCACCATGCCAGGGGACAGCTTGGTCCTGTGCACGAATGGCATGCTCTGTGCTAGGGCACAGCACACACTCCATAGGACGTGGCGCCCTCCACAGAGCACAGCCTGCTCTATTCAGGGAATAGCATGTTCTACACAAGCTCGTGGAATGCTGCATGCAGGGGGACTGCATGTTCCACACCTGGAAAAAGCATATTTTTGACAGGGAAGAGCAAGCTATGCACAGAATAATGCATGTGCCACAACATGGAACAGCGTGTTTTGTACAAGGAACAGCATGCTTCACACAAGGAACAGCATGTTTCATACAGGGAACAGCATGCTTCATAGAGGGAACAGCGTTCCCACACGGGGAACAGCATTTTTCATAGAGGGAACAGCATTCCCACACGGGGAACAGCAAGCTTTACACAGGGAACAGCATGCCTCATATGGGGAAGAGCGTGGTCCACACAGGGAACAGTCCACTCCACCCACAAAGAATGGAGCACTCTCCAACCTTTGGCAAGCATCGGAGGAATACAACAGACGTGGAAAGAGTAGAGAGGACCAGGCACTGTCACCTCCCCAACTTTTTTTTCTTTTTTTTTTTTTTGCTTTTCTCCGAGAATTCTCATCTGCTCTGGGATTGAGAACTGGGTGAAGGAGATACAGTGGTGGAGTAACAAATGCTCAAAGACAATGGTAACGGGGGCTGGAGCAATAGCACAGCGGGGAGGGCGTTTGCCTTGCACGTGGCCTACCCGGGTTTGATCCCCAGCATCCCATATGGTCCCCTTAGCACCGCCAAGGGTAATTCCTGAGCGCAGAGCCAGGAGTAACCCCTGTGCATCGCCGGGTGCGACCCAAAAAAAGCAAAAAACCCCAAACAAAACAAAACAAAAAAAATAAAGACAGTGGTAACAATGAACATGAGGAGTGGTCTTCAGCAGAAGACAGGCCACAGCGGAAGCAATGCCAGGGCTGCAGAACTCAGGGCGCTGGGAATAGCTGCTGGCCACTGAGCCTTTGGGGACACTTCTGGACATGGCCAGGACCCCCAGCCAGGCTGTATGCACATTCTTACAGCAAAAGCCCGGAAAATGGGAGAGAGTCGGATGTGGAGGCAACGAATGTAAATCGGCCAAGAATAAAAGGTCCTGAGCCAGCAAAGGAAAGCGACTGCCTCATTATTCTGCTCATTTATCCGACATTTACAACATTTACTCATCCCAGGCTGCTCTTTTTTTGCTAAGAAAATTCTTCTAATTGGAAGGAAAATTGAAATAGAGGGTAATCAATCTAGAGGCTAACTAGAATTTGAAAGGCATGATTTTTTTTTTTAATGCAACACTAGGGGGCTGGAGCAATAGCACAGTGGGTAGGGCGTTTACCTTGCATGCAGCCGACCCGGGTTCGATTCCCAGCACCCCATAGGGTCCCCCAAGCACCGCCAGGAGTGATTCCTGAGTGCAGAGCCAGGAGTAACCCTCTGAGCATCGGCTGGGTGTGACCTCAAAAGAAAAAAAAATGCAAAACTAGAAGATGATGGTTTGTCTTTGGACTTGCTTGGATTCCCCTAGCGCGGGCTGTAAACGGAAGAGGAGGATGGAGCCCCCTAGATTCATACAGCAAAGCCCACCGTGTGATCTGGCTGGCCGGGCTGAAGGCTGCATTGCCCCTTCTGTTTGGAGGACAGAATAACCCAAGGAGGAAAGAAAAAAAGCCACGGGCACAGAGCTGACCCCATACCAGCACCCCCTGGAAGACCCCTTTCATCCCCTTGGATAGAAACACACACTGAACAGAACTCCAGGCAAAAGGCTGAGCTCCAGGAAGGACTAAGTTAGTGTCTGTGTAGCAGCCTCCCAAGAGGGGTGCTCACCCCACAGCACCCCAGGACTCATGGAACCCCCTCCTTCCTCCCAGTACGGATCAGAGGCAGGATTTGGGGGAGTCCGGGGGTTACTGAGCCTGGGCGGGTCAGTGGGAGAAGGAAGCGGTTCTAGAAGTGCTCCCTTTGCAATGCACACAGGTCCTGCTGCAGAGAGAGCCTGCGTGTTGGGGATGTGTGGGAGGGACACTGTCAGGGCGCACCCCTCGGGGTCCACGCACCCCCCCCCCCCCCGCCGCTCCCCTCTGGCACACGCCGCCAGCCCTCTCCTGCCTGTCTTGCAGGCACAACCCCAGCCTCTATGGAAATGAAGGGAGGCTTCATCACACAGCTTGTTTATGCAGAGACAGACTCTGCCGGGACAAGACTCTGTGGAACCTCTATTTGCATGCGCAACCCCGGCCTCTCTCGCAGCCAGCTGGGGGAGCCGTTAATAAGCTCATTCAGCCGCGTGGAGAATGGTTGCTATTTTCCAACAAACGTCCAAGCACGCTGACCCCATTCAGGGCTCCTTTCATTTATTTATTTATTTATTTTTATTATTTGTTTTGCTTTTGGGCTCACGCCCGGCGATGCTCCGGGGTTCCTCCTGGCTCTGCGCTGAGGAATGACTCCTGGCGGTGCTCAGGGGGCCCTATGGGATGCTGGGAATCGAACCTGGGTCGGCCGCGTGCAATAGGACAGCACACTTGCCTTGCATTGCGGCCACCCTGGGTTCAATTCGGGGATCTTTTTTATTTATTTATTTTTATTATTTGTTTTTCTCTGTTGGGTCACGTCCGGCGATGCTCAGGGGTTCCTCCTGGCTCTGCGTTCAGGAATGACTCCTGGCGGTAATTACTCAGGAAATGTGGGGTTATAGGCATAAACGCAGAACCCTGGTCTACCTGGGGAAGGACCCAGATTTCGTGGCTTAGGACTTTAGAGATTTTTGTCATAGCACAGCGGTAGGGCACTTGCCTTGCGCTCAGCCAGCCTGACCGAGCCAGGTTCGATTCCTCTGCCCCTCTCGGAGAGCCTGGCAAGCTACCGAGAGTATTCAATATGCCAAACACAGTAACAAGAAGTCTCACAATGGAGATGCTACTTGGGCCCGCTCGAACAAATCGATGAGCAATTACTCAGGGGGCCCTATGGGATGCTGGGAATTGAACCCAGGTTGGCCGCGTGCAAGGCAAATGCCCTCCCCGCTGTCCTATAGCTCCAGCCCCCTCAGGGATCCCTTTAATGGGCAGATGCAGAGCCCGCATGGTTTGAGACATGGGGAGTGAGCGTTTCCCAGTAGAAGTTGGAGGCCCTCGGTTTGACCAAGGTCACAGAGCTCAAGCTTGCTTGGGCTTCCTTCACTGTTCACTTTGCTGTAGGCTTTTATTTGAGTTCAGTATAAGCGGTATTAATGCTGGGCATGGAGGGTGGAGGGTGATTCCGTTGTTACCTTGAGGTTAGAGGAGCATTTCCCAAATTGCAGAGAGCACGCCAGCGCTAGTGTCAAAGCCAGCTCATCCGATCATGTGTGGAAAAGCCACAACATTGTATCCCAACAGTGAAAACACTTTTCCTTTTTAACTCATATTTAGTCCATCCAAGAACACTGGAGGGGAGATCTCGGTGACATTCCTCTCCAGCTGGCTAGTTGCCATTTCTTATTTGTCATACAAGTTCCCTTACAAGCATCTGTGTGCTTCTTACCCAACGGGGTGACCAGAACACAGCCAAAAGAAAATGGTCACGAGCCAATTTTTGTTTTGAATTGACCCTATCAACAGTCACTTTTTGCTTGGAAAAAAGTGACTCTGGCTTGTCATGTCGGCCGTGTGACATTTCTTAGAAAGTGAACTTTGAATAGCCAATAAGCTGCCTTCAAGATAAAATATCAAGTATGCTATTTGGCAGAACCCAGTGACCTTTGAGAAACGTGGGGTTAGAGGCATAAACGCAGAACCCTGGTCTACCTGGGGAAGGAACCAGATTTCGTGGCTTAGGACTTTAGAGATTTTTGTCATAGCACAGCGGTAGGGCGTTTGCCTTGCGCTCAGCCAGCCTGACCGAGCCAGGTTCGATTCCTCTGCCCCTCTCGGAGAGCCTGGCAAGCTACCGAGAGTATTCAGTATGCCAGACACAGTAACAAGAAGTCTCACAATGGAGATGCTACTGGGCCCGCTCGAACAAATCGATGAACAACGGGAGGACAGTGTTTGTTTGTTTTTTTGGAATCACTGAAATTTGGTTCATAAAGCGAATTCTCTCAATAACCTGCTAACCACCCAGGACGCTTCACTGAAGAGGAGCTGGGTGGAGGGAGGTGGCGACCAGGGTTCCTGCCCCCCTCACCCCCCCACCCCCACCCCACATACACACCTTTTGTCTAAAGAGTTTCCTACAGGCCTGTCCCAGCCTGGGGCTCTGCAGCTGTTTTTTCTTGGAGCCTTTGGCCTGGATCTGGGCCGTCTTCTGCCCCACGTGTCCATCACAAACAATCTCGGCTTTGGATGCCTTTTAGCCAACAGCAGTCACAGCTTAGAACTCGGGTTTTTAAACAAAACCTGTGTTTCCCGTTTTTTTTTCTTCTTCTTTTTTTTTTAATGTGCATTCAAACACATCAGCAATTAACTGCTGGGGTCTCCTCCTCCCCCCATCCCCCCCAGTACCCCCCATCACTTCCCCAGATATCCACATCTGGTCCTTCTCAAAACTCTCAAAAATGTATTAAAGACCACGCGGAGTAAGTGCATTTCAACTACACACTGATTTTTCAAGCATTTAAATCCGACCGTTGGTTTAAGTGACCCAGACGAAGGCAGTTCCATTTGTTCCAGACATTTCAGCTCTGCCAAGGGGACATCAAGTATCCAGAGAAGGGCATTTTAATTTATTACTCACTTATTTTTAGCCACAACTGGCAGTGCTCAGAGCTGACTTCTGACTCTGCACTTAGGAATCACGCCACGTGGGCTCAGGGGACCATATGGGATGCTGGGGGTTGAACTCAGTTTGGCCTTGTGAAAAGCCAGTGCCCAACCCACTGTACCATCTCTCCAGCCCCTAGAGGGGACATCTTTTTTTTATTTTTCCTTTTTGAGTCACACCCAGAGATGCTCAGGAGTTACTCATGGCTCTGCACTCAGGAATTACTCCTGGCGGTGCTCGGGGGACTATATGGGATGCTGGGGATTGAACCCGGGTCAGCCGTGTGCAAGGCAAATGCCCTACCCGCTGTACTATCTCTCCAGTCCCCCTGAGAGAGGGCATTTTTAAAGAGCAAAAGAGGAGAGCACTAATCCCCAAATCTAAATGTTGTTGTCATTTGGGAAAGTAAAAGTAATCAAACCAAAAGACCAAGACTTAAAAAAAAATATCTTGGAGTCAAGGGCTTGAGTGATGCCCAGTGGCTCTTATTTTCACACTCACCCCTTGTGACCTGGAGACTTTGGACATACCAGTGGCTTGCAAACACCTTTCCTGACTTCCCTAGGTGCAGGTATCTCAGGCCAAAACGCCTCTAGTGTGAGCCCTGGCATGGAGACCACACCAGGGATGCAGAGCACTTCTGAGAGAGCACTTAGCACTGCTGACTCAAGGCCTCACTGGTGGGGAAAGGGGTGAGTCTGTGGAGCTTAGAAACACCCAGTGCTGAACAGGAAATTCCACCGAAAGCACAGACTCTTAAAACCGGAACCAACAAGACAAGGGATGAGACTGAGAATTCTTTTTTTTTTCTTTTTGGGGGGTCACACCCAGCGATACACAGGGGTTCCTCCTGGCTCTGCACTCAGGAATGACTCCTGGCGGTTCTCAGGGGACCATATGGGATGCTGGGAATCAAACCCGGGTCAGCCATGTGCATGGCAAACCCTACTCGCTGTGCTAGCGCTCCAGCCCTGAGGCTGAGGATTCTAGAAGGACTGTGATCATTGTCACAGGTGAGCAATGACTACATAGAACCACTGGCATGACCCCACAGCTCCCTGAGCAAAAATAAGTGAGACTTTCTCCGTGATATGCGGCCACCCTCAGTTAGGACCATTTGGGTCGGGAAGAATCTTGATGTCTGAGAGCTGGAGAGCGAAATCATTGGGTCATTTGGAAAAGCCACACGACCTCCCCACACCCCGTCCCCTGCTTCCAGCCCCTGCAGCCCGTGTGACTTCAAACAACGCAAGACAACACAGAACCAAAACAGTAACACTCGGACTCAACCATTCATCGAACTTGACTCTCGGTGCCTTGTAGCCTGGGAATCATTTTATAGGAAAAGGCACGTAATGCCTTCGGATAGACATTAGGTTTTCAATGGAAGGAGACTGGAGAAGAACCAATAACTATAACAGTCGTCATGTTCAGTTTCTCTCACAGAGCTTATGGAAATAGAATCATCTCCTACAAGTGAACAATATCCTGTAGCTCACCGAGCACTGTCAGACGTCCATTCCATGCTGAGCTGAGCAGACGGTCTTTCTCATACCAATTTTGCAGACAGGGAGATTTGAGTTCATACAGGTGAGGATTTTACAGTTAGGGAATGGCTGGACTTCAGCCCGAAGGCAGGGTTCCTTTTATCACTTAAGTCTTCCCAACATGGGCGGCAGATGCATCGGCTTGGCCAAGCCCTCTACTTGGTTGCAGTGTCTCTAAGCACTTCCCCTTATCAAAAGGAAGGCGCCAGGCTTATTTGTCACCAAGCTCAACTTTCCCTGTGACGCCCGTAAAATGTAAACCATGTGTTTCACTAGAGATAATCAGTTCTGTCAAGTGTAAAGGGAAAACATCTCTAGAAAGCGGGGGTTCCAAACCAGGTTTATTTTGAGACGCTTTGGCTGCGTTTCGAGGATGACAGAGAAAAATGCAGCATCTTGACTGTCCTCACTCTGACACGCGCCTGCATTTGGCAAGCGTTCAATGGTGACTACTTTACCTCGCCAAACAATTGCCTTTGTGATAGAAATGGATTTTTCCCCCCCAAGTGACACCAATGATCCAAAGAAGGTATTTTTGCAAAACCCAAAATATAGCAACCTACTTCCCCATCCAATGCAGTCTCACCTCTTTGTCATTCTTAGTGATTCAAGTGCATAGACTATTCTTGGGTCTCTCTACACTAAAAGAGGAAGATGATACAGAATGATTCTGAGCTCGGTCTTTTTCTCTATGAGAAATCAGTTCTGGCGATACAACTTAGCCAGAACTGGCACACACATCAAGCTCCCAACTAAAAGGTTCCTGAAAACACTGTGAACATAAATGAAATATTTTAAAAGCAATCTAATAGCACCATCCAATTTCTAAATATATATATATATAAAAGTGCTAGGTATTCATACAAATACACAGTTCAAGAAATAAGGATGCAGACGCAATCAAAATCTAAGTACACATATAAAGCCAAATGCAAATGTATGTTCAGTTACCTACCGGGTCTTCTGGGTCTTTTTTTGTTTCCGCTTTATTAGGTGAAACCTTCAAAGTGTGAGAAAACCAAACGTTAGACACTGAGGCACTTTAGGGTAATTTCATTTCACAGTTACATCTGTTCAGTCTCCTAGCTCAGACCTTAACGAGAAGCTCTTTCTTCTCATTTCAGTTGGATGGAAACACAGATTTCCAGTAATGCCTGAGTTAAAATTGATAGTTTATAAGGCAAGTACATTTGACCCTGCACAGTCAACCAGAGCCTGACCATATTTATTTTGGGAGCTTGGAGGCCACGTTTGGTGATGCTCAGGGCTCGTTCTTGCCCTTGGGGTCAGGTATCACTATGGGACTGAGGACTCCAGGAACCATATAAAGTGCCAGGATCGAATGGGGTAGGTGGAATGCAGGTCACGTTGTCAACCCCCTGGATTATCGCTCCAGCCCAAGCCTGACCATATTTGACAGAGCTTCTCAGAAGTCACAGACGTTCCATCAACCCGGGCACAGATGCCAACCAATGCAGTCTCTGTGAGTGTTCGTCGACTTGGTTGGTTCTCTTTATTTTATATTTTGAAATTGGTCTTTAGACAAAACTCAAACAACCGAAGGGCGTCTAGTTAACCACCCATACACGGAACGGGACTTTCTCTGAAGGGTCTGGCCCTGGGGTTTGCCTTAAAGAATCAGAAAGTGAACATCACCGTAACATTTGTCAAACATTTGAGCATCACACTTTTCTTTACCTTTGGGGCTTAGCACATGAAAAATTGTCATAAATTATGTCCCACTGAAAATGATGTTGTTGAAGTGATAAATCCCCAAAATCTCAGATGATGACTCTACATGGGGATAGAATCTTTAAAAAGATTATTATGTTAAACTGAGCCCATGAGAGTTTGGCCTAATCCAATAGGATAAGGAGAAATTTGGACATAAAAAGATATATTAGGATGGCAAGAACGCTGTCGTCTGCCAACTAGGAAGAAGAGGATCTAAAGAAACCAGACTTGATGATGATCAGACTTCTAGGAGACTCAAGGACTAGGAGAAAATAAGTTGTTGTTTAAGTCATCCTGGCACAGCATTTTGTTACGGACGTCTGAGAAAACTAACATAAGGTTTAATAAACATTTGTTGATTGAAAAAAAAAATAGAAGAAAGTGAACATCACAGGACCAGGGTCCAGTTAACAGAGCAGAGTGAAACCTGAGAAGATAGAAAAGGATTTCAGGAGTTTGATCTGCCACAGAGTGACAAAAATGCTCTGATAGGGCGACACAGTTAATTGTTTTAAGTAATAATTCCATTGATGGAGCTTATCGATGCTAATCCTGATGTTCTCAAATTTACCTAGGAAAGCAGGTACCTCCTGAATCTGTCTTCCTTTCCTCATGTCTTTCCTTACCCTGCCCCGAAGCCTGATTTTCTTTTTTTAATTGTTTAAAAAACTGAATCACTGTGATTCAATTTGCAGAGCTGTTCATGATGAGGTTTTAATCCTACAGTGTTCCAACACCCGTTCCTCCAAGGAGGGACTTTGCAGTTATATTTATGATCAATGTCCGCAGGGCATTCGGTTGCCATGATCCCATTACCACCCAGCCTGTGTCACCGATCTGATGACCCATTGTCTTTGTCAAGGGTCTCAACTCTCAGGGCTCCGTCAGGAAAAGCCTGGGGTAACCCAGCTGCCGTGGAGTGAAACCTGTGCTCTACGATGGCATCGAGATAGCATCCTCCTTAGCACCCACACCACAGGAGCAATGGTACTGCAACAAAAAATGAGAAAGGAAAGGACTTACCAGGGTTTTAAAGAAGCTCATGATGGAAGGGTTATTCTCTGTCCCTGCTATCTGGGGCTGGTCCTCAGCTGCGTCCCGGGGGAGAGAGCGACTCACAGGACTGACTTCCGGTTCTTTCTCCTCACTGGCATCTATGTCCTAGGAGCAAGGCAGAGTTTTCACAGTTGCGGTTTGTTGAGTGTGGACTGTCAAAGTCATGCTTTTCCTTCGCACCGAGCCCCTAATTCCAGCCATAGTTGCTCTTCCCACGGGCGTGGAGAACAATCAGGAGCTTATGGGACTCAGGCCTCCTTCCCCTCCCCCCGTTGGAAGCACATGCAGCCTGCCCAAGGGAGGGACATTGTTCGGAGCCAGAGGGGAACCAACTCAGCAGTGCACGCTGCATTCCAAACAAAAACCCTTTTCTCCCAATTCTGCAGAGACCGAGTCTGAGGTAGTGTTTTCTATCTTTGGGGGATCCTGATCAATAGCCCCAGAGCACAGCTATTGATGGACCCCCTTTTGCCTCACCCCCACCTCCAAGGACCGAGAGCAGTGAAACATCACGATCACCATCCTCCCGTTGTTCATCGATTTGCTCGAGCGGGCCCAGTAACGTCTCCATCGTGAGACTTGTTGTTACTGTGTTTGGCATATCGAACACGTCACGGGGAGCTTGCCAGGCTTTGTCGCGCAGGTGAGATACTCTCGGTAGCTTGCTGTGCTCTCCGAGAGGGGCAGAGGAATCGAACCCAGCTTGGCCGGGCTGGCTGCGCGCAAGGCAAACGCCCTATGGCTGTGCTATCGCTCACTAAAACCAAACAAAAACCAGATCTGGGGGCCAGAGCGATAGTACAGTAGGTAGAGGGTTTGCCAAACTTGCACACAGCCAACCCAGGTTCAATCCCTGGCATCCCATCTGGTCCCCCAAGCACCACCAGGAGTAATTCCTGAGTGAAGAGCCGGAAGTAACCCCTGAGCATCGCTGGGTGTGACTCAAAAAGCAAATAAATAAATAAATAAATAAATAAAAAGAAGTCTGACATTGGATGGTTTTAAGTACTCATTCCATTGATGGAGCTTATTGACGCTAATAGGAACCGATGCTCTCGAATTTACCCAGCAAAGGGGGTACCTCCTGAATCCGTCTTCCTTTCCCCATGTCTTCCGTTCCCTGTCCATTACCTGAGGCAAATCCTGATCATCTTTGTACTCCTGACTGCAAGGCATTGTCCCTTGCAGTACTTGGACCCTGGATCTTTCTATCTGTTCTTTACTCAGCAGAACCTATTTTTTATCCCAATTCAGTGATTTCCAGCAGCCCACTGGGTCTAGAGCTTCCAGTGCTGTCTCGTCTAGCCTACCTGACCATCTCCAATTCCCTGTGCCCACCTTCCTTCCCACTTCATTCTTTCTGGCCACCTTTCTCGGAGTCACCGAAATTCCATATACCACAATCTGTTTCTCACCACAAGGCTTTGTGGGAAACCAGTCTTCCCCTCTGTCTAGCTGTGTGTAATTCCCGCCAGCTCCTTAAATTGCCTGTGCTTCCTCCCTTTGTCTTCATCACTTTCCCTTTGTCACAGCACGTTGCGTTTCCCATTTTAGCGAGGGCCACCCATTTCTGGATGTTCTCAGAATCAGTCGGATCATCAGTTCTGCAGAGCAAGAGATTTGCTGTTAATTCTCTAATATTGTTGCGCTGAACTCAGTGCCTGGGGTACCAACAGAGTATTCAAGAGGTGAGTGATTGCAGATACAGGTTCTACAAGAAGGAAGGTGTTTTCTCCATCCTGCTGCTGTAGCTCTGTAGCACAGTCCTCCCGTTGTCCATCGATTTGCTCGAGCGGGCACCAGTAACGTCTCCATTGTGAGATTTGTTGTTACTGTCTTTGGCATATTGAATACGCCACGGGGAGCTTGCCAAACTCTGCCGTGTGGGCAGGATACTCTCGGTAGCTTGCCCGGCTCTTCGAGAGGGACAGAGGAATCAAAGCCAGGTTGGCCACGTGCAAGGAAAATGCCCTACCCACTGTGCTATCGCTCCAGCCCATCCTGCTGCTAATTTTACTTAATAAAAAGTATAGATGCCCTCCCCCTGCTCACCTGCTCACCACCGCACAGAAAAATATGCCTTGTTCTCTATGTTCCATGAAGTATATTCCACTGTATGTTGACCCGACTCCTTATTTGATACTTTTAGATGGATATGCTTTTTTTTTTAATAGTTTCACATCGGGCTGGAGCGATAGCACAGTGGGTAGGGCTTTGCCTTGCACGTGGTTGACCCAGGTTCGATTCCCAGCATCCCATCTGGTTGCCTGAGCACTGCCAGGAGTAACTCCTGAGTGCAGAGCCAGGAGAAACCCTTGTGCATCTCCAGGTGTGACCCAAAAAGAAAAAAAAAAGTTTCACATCAAGGGTGTTGAATGGATACGTACATTTACTTTGGATTACTCACACGTGCTTATATTTCCCTTGGATACATTTTTGGATGCGAAAATTCTGAATCAGGGGGTATGTGCATTTTGCAACTCAAAAAGTATACTTGCAAAAAAAAAGTCAAAGGGAGATTTCCCTCAGGAAAGTCCTGTGGATCTGTGGTTGGATCTGAAAAAATGGCGGGTTTGCTGGGGAGAATGGCAGGTGTTGAGGAAGCCATGTTCAGGACAGGCCGGCTGTCCCCTGCCTGGGACCGTGGATTGGCCAGAGGGCCTTGGATTGGAGAGAGAGAAGGAGCAAACCCACATCTCACCTCCTGTCCCGAGCATCCCTCTCTTCCTGCCTCTCATGGAATTCTTGCCTTCATCCTAGACTAGGTATTTCCTTCTCTGCATCATCTGCATCCTGCTAGCCAGAGACCACCATGACCCTGTTGTTTTCTTTACAGGATCTCTAATGGGACCTAGGCCTGAGCCTGGAGACCCCCTATGGAATCTTTGCGTTTTTGTCTGTTTTGATTATTGCTCCAATCATTGCATGAGATTTGGTAGCACGGCAGTGAGACTCCTGGGCTTGATTCTTCAATTTAGTTCAAATGCATGAGCACTTATTCAGGAATACCAGTCAGAGCTTGCTCTCTTAAAAAAAGCTCATGTTCTTTTTCCCTCTGGAAAGAAAGATGGCAGCCGCTTCAGAGCCTTATGGAAAGCCAGATATGAGCCGGTTGTGATGGGGCAACTGAAACCTCATGGGAAGGGGGGCATTCCCGGCTCGTCCTTCATGCCCTACCAAGGTCATGAGTTGTCCCCCACGAGCGGCTCTCCGGCATGGCCATGGCTCCAGAACACAGAAACCAATCTCATAGTTATCTGACTCTCAACAGAAATACTTTCAGGCTTAATAAGTAAAATACCAGAAATCCAAAATTGCGTGGCCACAATAGCGATCATCATTTGATGCTTGTAACCAGCTGTAGAAAACAAATTATTTCACAATGCCTTTTCAGCATGTCTGATTTAGGGGTGTAAACTCTAGATATAATGGTGCATCTTTTGTCAAAACAATGAATCTAATCAAAGTAGATAGAGTGCTGACTAGAATTCATCTGCCTCACAGGCATTGGGAGGGTTGGGGGGGCATGTATTGGGGTTCTTGGTGGTGAAAAATGAGTATTGGTCAAGGGAAATGTGTTTAATAATTGCACGACCGAGACTTAAACCGGAAAGCTTTGTAACTTTTCCCACAGTGAATCAATAAATAATTTTTTTTTAAAAAGCTCATATTATTCTGAACATGGTCACTGGCCTTTCTATATCACTCTTTGTTATAGAGCAGTGGAAAAGAAGAGGCATTTATAATGTAGACTAAATTTCATGGCTTCTTTTAATTCTTACAACAACTTTCTGAGGTCGGTATTACAAGGAAAAGTTTTCAAACAGTGAAATAAAACTCAGGGCAGCTAAAAGCTCTTTTTTAAAGAACACACACTCCGAGAGATATGAATCTGGGGATTCTAAATCAGGTCTGTGGTCGACTATTGGTTTGGAATCTTTTTAAAAACTCATGTTTATTTTTTTAAATGACTCTAATGAACACAAACATCTAATTTTGCAGATGAAAAATACTTTGCTTTATGAAAAATTCTCAAGTTGTGACCGATTTTTTTTTTTGAAAAATGGAACAACTTTGTCTTGAGTGTTTTTTAAAGACTTTATTTAAATACTGTGGTTTACCAAGTTGTTCTTATGACAGTTATTTCGGGCATTCAATATTTCAACATCAGTCCCACCACCAATGTGAGCTTCTTCCCTCCACCTTTGTGACCAGTTTCCTACCCGTCACCCAAGCCTGCCCTCTTGGCAGGCACAAAATAATTTATTTTATATTGCTTGTAATTGTCACTGTCGCTGTCCTCCCTTGTTCATCGATTTGCTCGAGCGGGCACCAATAACGTCTTACAACAAAGTGTGTGACTCGTTGTTACTGTTTTTGGCATATTGAATATGTCACGGGGAGCTTGCCAGGCTTTGCCGTGCGGGCGAGATTGCTTGTTATTCACAAAATCACAAAGCATCCTGTTATTCATCGATTGCCTCGAGCAGGCCCCAGTAACGTCTCCTTCATCCTAGCCCTGAGATTATATTCAAGGCTCTTTAGGAGAATGAGACCCATCATTGTTACTGGTATTTGGCATATTGGGTACGCCACAGGGAGTTTGCCAGACTCTGCCGTGTGGGCAGGCTACATTCGGTAGCCTGCCAGTTTGTCCAAAGTAGGAATGAGATAATAAGATGTCATAATAAGATGTCGCGCGGCCGCGCGTTTCCGGGAGCTGGTTTTTATAGTCTCTGAGTCTTGGCCGCTGATGGGATTACACGGCGCCAGGGGGCCAGTTGGTGGGTGTGACCCCCGCCTACTGGAATTTGGAGGATCTGGGTGGAGGATGCTCGGCCCCAATCCGTGTAGGCTTGGAGATCTCGGCCCCGGAACCCGCATGGCTTTGTCCCTCTGCCAGTACCTTCATGTGTGCGGAGAGTGGTCTCAGCATGGTGGTGGCTGGTCCTGGAGGTCTTCGGCTGCCGGAGCCCTGGTCAGGGCGGGGAGGAAAGCTCAACCCGCTCCCCTCCAAGGGGCAGTCTCCTGCCCCCGCGCCTGGCTGTCCTCGCTTGTTATTACAAAATGAAAAATGGTATTATCTAAACATACTTCAGTAAAAG